GGATGCACACTGTCAGTAAGGGTGGCAGTACTGGCTTCTTCAAAGACAGAATTCTGTACAGTTCTAATGAGATATCAAAAACGTTAATATTGTGTGTAACCTGAGGTACATTATGTGATCAGGTTCAAAATTTTTGCATAATTCACTGCTATATAAACAAAGTCATTCAGAGTGGTATGATGTGAAATAGTTGACTGTGGAGAAACATATTAACTCTTTCTTTACAGTGGTGGGGGAACCAGGGGTCATGAAGTCTACACTGGAAATATAGCCATTTTATTTACCATCCAATATGATCAGTGAACCTACATATGATGATATTTTGTTGTTATTGTGATTATCTTTATCTCACCCATATCTCAGTACTCTCATACAACAATGTATCAGGCATCAGGCAGAGCATCTGTAACCATTTCAGGGAATAACTTTCTGTGAAGGATCTTTTAGAAGCACTAATTTCTGCAGAAGTCTGGTTCCTATCACAACCACTGTGAACAACTCTGATGTTCTAGGACTAACCATTTAACATCAAACCACTCTAAATGACTTTGCTGACTTCTTCATGTTTGAGCTGTGCAGAAATTTTAATGTTTCAACTGAACCCTCTGTCATTTTTTTCCTATAAGCATCCTGACGTTCCACATGAGTGTGCTGTATTTTTTTGGACGAATCAAGGCTTTGACAAGATTCAACATATTAAAATAACACATAATAACCCATAAATTACATAAATAACAGCAAATAAAATTATTTCCACACCAGTCTTTAATCATCGCTAGTGTCTTTAACATATTACAAGGCTTATTCAGTTGCAGTATGTAGTAATATAATCACAATATGGCTTTTTGTCCTTGTTGCAGAGCCCTAATCCTTCCATAAAACTGACTGCAAGTAGATTTTTCATGATGTTTGATCTGAAGTTAAGTCAGTGCACCGGCTCTCTTACAACCATCTGGCTCTCAGATATGTCCACGCGTATTTTCAAAAGCTAGTCTCGGACTTCTGATAGATGAAACTAAGCGTCAAATTCAAGCTTTAAACTGCATGCAACTGCGCTCTTTGAGGGAGTGAGCTTCCATATGACAGCTTACACTCACAGACGAGACATAACAGCACGCAGCTACCTCCCTTTGGCCTGCCCTTTTCTACGGCAGCCGTCAATGCTGGCACACACCAGCCAACGTTGATCCGGGTCAAGGCACCAGCACAACCCGTTTCAGTCAACTCAGATTTGAACCAAAGACCTGCCGCATCACAGGATGCTTTCCATGGCATATCTAAACCAGCTTTGTAGTCTAAGACAAAACATAACTGACAAAATTTTTGGTCAAGTTCACAAATTAAACTGCAAGCTTAGGCTGTTGTTCAGTTGTTAATCTGTTAAAGGGCATGGTTTCTATATATAGCTGTTATTGCAGTTTAGATTCCTTGGGCTATATGGACTTTTGAGTCAACATAATGCTTTGAGTCATTGATAATGGTTATACCGCAAATATTTGTTTAAAAAAGCAAGGAAATGTTTTCCGTGATATGGAATGTCAGTAAGTACTCAGTAAATACTATGAATTATGTTGGTAGTGTAAAACCTAGGTAATTCTAAAGTAGGACTGAGGTCTGAACCAACATTCTGGTTTGAGTTTAAGGGGTTAACTGGTTTGAGCCTCTTCCTGTCACTTGTCTAGTGACAAAGGGGGCAAATATATGCAAAAATATGTATCTTACATCAATGTAAACTCATCTGCATGCAGAATTGTATGTTACGTAACCATGGCTTATTATCCTCAGAGTGTCACTCAGTATTACTGGTGGTGTATATTAACATGAAGCGACAATAAAGCAGCTTGTTGCTGAGCGTTACTGATACAGGGCACAGTGCACAGTCATGCAGCTTCCTTCTCGTGTTATTGATGGGACGATCCATTAGGACTATGAGGGCACAAAGTATTGATTCCATGGCAGCACGTCACCAGTGGTGCAGTGGGACCCATGCCTCTGCATCTGTGTGCCACGACACGGTCTCTACGAAATGATTCACAGCTTTGGTATTTCCTGTGAAACCCTGCGGTGGCCTCAAGGTGGGAATAACTCATAATCAGAATCTCGAATTCCAGGAGTACGTGACCTCTGACCTTTCACACGCCCACACACATGCACACTCAATAAGGCATGGCTTGGGAATCCTCTTCAGGCCTCACTAAATGTGTCTCTCGCTCTCTCTCTCTCTCTCCGTTAAAGAAATAGCTGACTCAAGCATGCTAACGTGGCAGTTAGCATATCAGTGGCATAATGCTAATCAGTGGCTATAAGATGTCACTCATTCATTGTTAGAATTATTATATATCACAGATATTGTCAGCAATCTTCTCAAACAAGACCTAATGGTCCTCGATGGTGTTCTCCTCTGTCTCTAGTAACACTTTCTTGACTCTCCCAGGTGAAGATAAAGTCACCAAAGACTATAATATGACCAATAAGTGCAGCCAACTGTCAACTAGACTGGTATGTTGATGTGTTGATTGCTATTTTTGGAACTGTTCCTTTGTAAAGAGTTAGCTAGGGTAGTTAGGACACTCATGCTATTAGCATTGAAGCTAGCCTCCACAGAACGGGTGTTTTTGCTCAAATTCTCTCACAAATATAAGCTTTGTTTGATTCTACATATGATTCTTTGTAACTGTAGACGTTTGTGTGAGTGTGTTGGTGCAGAGCATTGTTTCATCTCAGTAAATAAGTTGAGCTAACTATAGCTAGCAAGTAGCTAATTAGCCCACTTAGAGTAGCATAAAATGACCAACAAGGTAATAAAATGATCAATTTTGGTTATTATGACAGTTCCAGCTGTTTTTAAGTAGACGGAAAATGAACCCGAACTAGACACTTGGGTCAGTTCTTGTTTTTGAATGTACAGTGGAAAAACACCCAAAAAAATATAAGTCGTCCTATTTAACTGAATTTAGCATAGCACAGTATGTGAAATGTTGAATAAACATTGTTGTATTCACATTTTTTATGCTGTTTTTTGAATGTGGCACTATTGGTTCTTTTTTGTCTGTTGCAACTTATTAAACCACAGAAAAACAAAACATTGTAATGCATATCATGTATCAAAAAATACATTGGTATATTGGGATAAATTGTTCCCATAGCATCCTCCCCTATACCATTAGCACTATTTGTTTTAACTGGGCTATACCTTTAATAGAGAGAGAGAGAGAGGGAGAGAGAGAGAGAGAGAGAGACAGAGGGAGAGAGAGGGCAGCACGTGTCTTATTGGACCAAAACAGACCACCCACAGTACTGTACTGTTCCACCAGCCTGTCTACTGAATAACCAAATACACTGAATACCCGGCGCATGCCTACACTCTCCACCAGAACACAAGGAATCCACAGCACGGCGAGAAACAAAGACCAGACAACAATGTCTGGCAGAGTACTGTAGTAGAAAAGGAAAAAAAAAAACAGCGACTAAATTATGAACAGACCACAGTGACTGACTGGGGCGGAGAGGGATTCTTTGTGCAGAGGTGCAACACTGAAAGGCACTGAGCGTGGAGCAAATTATCAGCATGAAGGTTGCTGCCTTCTCTCTCTCTCTGGCCTTTCTCCCTCACACACACACAGAGAGGCAAGCAGGCATGCAGTTCCCAGTTACCCCTCCCCCACCGCAGCCTCTGCCTCCAGCTCACATCTATCTCCTTCTCGGCTGCACAACACAACAGTTGTCATTTCACGTATTCGGCGGTGGAGCTGTGCTGCTGTATGCCCTCTGCTGAAAGAGCCTGCAGGCTGAAGCTGTCTCTCCGGGAGGGTAATGTAGTCCCAGAGCGTGCCAGCGTTCACACTAATCCTGGAGGAAGACTGGAGCTGGGCTGGAGAGACAACTGTCTGACGGTTTTAACATCAGGAATGTGCTATCAGTCCATGAAACCTTTAGGATGCAGAAGGACTCAGCTGGTGGTGGACGTTGGGAACCACTGCAGCCAAAGATATCCCATGGCACAGGATACTAGGAATTGGCAATTGAAATATCAATAAATAGCATTTGATTAATTAGTCACTGATTCATTAAAAGGCTTTTTATATCCCTGTATAGTTCAGTTGTTAAACTGTAAACAAAGTCATTCAGAGTATTTTAATGTAAAGTGGTGTTCTGTACAGATACTGATTCATATTTCATTACAGTGGTGATCAGTCACATACAAATACAGCTGTTTTATGTATGTAATCCAAAACAACAAAGTTTTATTTTGGCTTTACAGCACTCTGCATGTTCCCTTATGTATGTATGGCTTTTAAAAATATGTTTTAGGCCACAATCTTATCATAAACTACTGTAAAACCATGTCTGATATTTGCAACCATTTCATGTAATAGCTTTCTGTGAGGCAGCTTGTAGATGCTCTAAACACTGTGAACAAGTCTGACTCTAGGTTTCTCTAGAATAGAGCATTTCACATCAAACCACTCTGACTGACTTTGTTTAGATCTTGACTGAACTGTGCAGAAATGTTGTCCAGATCAGTGCAGTGCTATGGGTCAGTTAATGCTTGGAGAAGGTGATCACAGTAAGCTAAATTAGTTTACTAGTGGATCAAGATTGACCACTCTCACTTATTCTCACACACACACACACACACAAACACACACTCAGAGAGCATCCCCGGCAAACTCAGCAGTGGGACCCTTCCAAACTTCAGGCCAAAAGTTCAGCCCAAATCAGACAGCCCCCTAAACTGGCCCCCAGGCAGCACGATGACGGGACAGAGCCGCCTCGGAGCCTCCGCTGCTCCCGCATGCCGAGAGTGGGTGTGAGTGCAACACATTGCATAGCACAGGCAACTGCAGTGGCTTAAACATACTCTACTGTTACCAATAAAACTCCACAGCCGGTGGACTCCAGCCTAGTGTCCCCTGTCTAACCCCACCTCAGAGCATAGAAAGACCCCTCTCCTCCTCCGCCTCCTTTTCCCGTTAGCAAAAGTTAGCAGAGCTGCCTACCTGAGCAGTCCGGGCAGTTGGATGGAGCCGGAGCCGGAGCCCAGCAGCCCCTTTTTCCCGCTCAGCAGCTTCTCCACCACGGCTACATTCCCTGTCCGCGCCGCCTCCAGAAGCTCCTGCTCTTTTCCCATCTCGCCTCCAACGGGGAATCCTGAAATCCGGCAGAAAAAGAGGAAAAAAACACCTCGTCCGCCTGTACTCCTCTACCCGGCCATGGCAGCACTCTGCTCGGCTAGGAGCTGCTCTAACGGCCCGGTTGCCTGGAGACGAGCGACCGGACCGTTATGGCTCTGATTTCTGTGCGCGCGCGTGTGTGTGTGTGTCTCTCTCTCTCTCTCTCTCTCTCTCTCTCTCTCTCTCTTTCTTTCTCTACACACACACGATGTGTAGCACACGCCGCTCTCCGCTCCCTCTATGAGTGTGTGAGCTGTGGTGTCGACAGCGGTCCCGCATCCCAGCTTTGCTCTCTCTCTCTCGCCTTCTCCCTCTGAGTGACCCTCTCTCTCTCTCTCTCTCGCCTTCTCCCTCTGAGTGACTCTCTCTCTCTCTCTCTCGCCTTCTCCCTCTGAGTGACTCTCTCTCTCTTCTTTTGCCTTCTTCCCACTGAGTGAGTCTCTCTCTCTCTCTCTCTCACTCTCCTGGGCGTGGAAGTAGAGGGTCGGTGTGGCTTTGTTGCAGTAACCTATTTTTAATGTCGCGCGTGTGAGTGTGTCGTCCCGCTGTAAATGGAGGTGTGTGTGTGTGTTTGGGATGGAGCTCTCTCTCTCTCTCTCTCTCTCTCTCTCTCTCTCTCTCTCCAGGCGGGAATCGCGCCGCGCTTTGTGAGTGAAGCGGTTCACCTTTTTCAGTGGAGGAGAAAGCTAGCGGAGCTACAGAAGAGCGAGGGGGCTGAGAGAGAGAAGGGGGCTTCCACACTCCACACAGAGAAGGGGTCTGCACTACGAGACAGAGCGGGGGGAAAGAGAACACACACCCGACCGTAAGCAGCTCCACAGCAGTGTGGATATTTGTTCTGCTCTGCTTTCACTACTGTAGCCTTCAGCATCACTTCCTGTACGGAGGAATATTCCCTCTCCTCCAAGGAGAGAGAGAGAGAGCGAGCGAGCGAGAGAGACAGAGAGAGGCTCAAACATACAGGGATATAGAGACACTCAAGAGGCGGAAAGAGAAAAGGGAGAAAAGGAGAGAGAGAGAGAGAGAGAGAGAGAGGAGAGAGAGGGAGAGAGAGAGACAGCTGCAGGCCCACCGGGTGTTGGACCGAATCACTGAGCTCCAGTTTTGCCAGGAGGGAGTGAGAACCTGAGCTTAGGAGCCAAATCTATTCCAGACCCTCCTCCCTCTCCACGCCTCTCTCTCTCTCTCTCTCTAAGCACACACACAAGAAACAAGAGCTTGTTTAAGAACTATTTGGTATTTTGTTGTGGGAGTAAACTACACAAGAGCCGCACAAAGGGCAGCATTCATTTGCCTTAACTGGCAATAAATAGAGTACAAACGCAGAGTAGGACTGGGGGGCTTCTAGAGAGAATCCAATACTAGGAGTCTGACCCCGTCAGAGGATAGCATTGATGCTGTCTGTGTTTGTGTGTGTGTGTGAGTGAGAGAGAGAGAGAGAGAGAGATTTTCTCCATTGTGAAGCCAGGATAATGTGGCCTTCAAAATACCGGATGTAAACAGAGAGTGATGCGAAGTGATTTACATCCCATAAAAAGAAGATTCGCAACGGAACACAAGTCAGTTCTTTCTGACAACAATAAAGCTGGTGAATGTTGCAGTTTCTCTGTCACCCCATAGAGGGCACTGTTATAAACCACGTGATCTGGACAAGAAGACACCAGATGGACATTAAAGCTAAACTGTGTAGTATTTAATCTCAGAAAAGAAAGATCCAACATCAGTACCTGAACTCACTATTGCTCTTGTGGTTGAATGCAATCAAATCCTCACAGCAATCTAATGTGAAGCCTTCCCAGAGGAGAAGAGGCTGTTACTGCAGCAAAAGGGAGGACAAACCCCCTATTTATCCCCTTCATTTTAGAAGATACATTGTACAAACCTTGAACTGTGTGTGGTGGGTTCAAAAAAAAAACCCCAACTGTATGATGGATGAAGGAGGTGATGTTTAGAAGCTGGTGTATGATTCGTCCAGGGGTTCATGAATTTGTTTAGCAGTGTGTTTGTAGCACTGTTATCTTAGAATGTAGGGACATCATAGGTTGCATCAAATACACCTTTACGCTTCCACCACCATAGAACATTTCAGGCCTAACCGCTTAACAATTGCCAACCAATAATGGATGGAAGTCATTCTGAAAGATGACTCATCAGACCATATTCAGTGTCCTCCATCACCCACTGGTGCACGCTTTGTGATCCTTCCTCCAGTTGTGCATCCTTATGTTTTGGTTTTAGACACAAGTGGTCAACAAACACCATGAATTCCAGCTTTATGAAGGTCTTTTTTTTATTAAGTGATGGTTTTATCCTGTGGTCATTTAATGCAGTATTTTTAAGATGTTAAGCAAGCAATCTGTCAATGTTAACTGGTCATGTATCCCTCTGTGTCGATCTAGTGCAACATATCTCATGTGGTTTGCTTCTCAATAAAACAAATGAAACATTTTTGAGACTGTTCCCTTTGACGTACAAGATAATTTAGCAATTTGGGCAACAACTATTTGGCCTCATTGAAAGTGTTCGTTGCCTCATGTATTGAAAGCCGTGTTGATTGTCAAATCTTTTTATAGCTGACACATATTCCAGTTGTAAAACTGGCAATGAACCTACTATGACTCATCGGTATATCTAATTGTGTTTTAGCTGGATCTGTCCTCAAGGCACACAGTGACCTTACTTAATAAAGTATTGCTAAGCTTCTGCTGTTTTGTGTTAACCCTGTATATACACACAGTACAGCGGGCTATAAGTGTATTCCCAATGTGTTATATACCACACCTTTCCAAGTTAAAGTCTTTCTATAGCATATAGTATTTTGTTCAATAACAGTGATTAACTACTAGTGACGTCTGTTTAACTGCTTTGAGCCCAACTTGGAGGCTTCAAACTTCTGGTTTGAACCTAAAAACTTGTTATCCTTCCTCTGTTCCTGTTTGCTGATGCAATTTACCCATGTTTAGTGTAGCTTAGTGCTGACCCATGAAGGTTTGTTGAAACCACAGGCAGCCCAACGAACTTTACTAGCCTCTGGCCTTGTTGCAGTGAGGAAAGCTATTCTTGGAAAGAAAAAAAAAGACTGAAATTATGGACATTGCTGAAACACATGTAGCCAGATTTTAGAAAGACTTCATTTTATTATTTTATTTCACTTGTTTCAGCAGCTTTTACATATTCAATTATTTTACAAGTTTGCTTGTTTTCGTTGTTGCATTTTCCGTTTGTGCTCGGTGGGTGGAGCTCACATGATTGTAGGCAGATTTTGTTGGGACTGAGGATGGGCTGTGGTGATGAGAAGGCAGGAGCCGCAGTACAGGAGGAGGAAGGGGTCACATAACCCCTTTAAAAGTTTTATACAATCAATCAATGTGTTTGTTAGTCTGGCCCGCTGGGTTGGGTGTTGGTGGACACAGTTTTCCCACCGAGTGAGAGAAGAAGAGCCTGATGAAAGGACTGGAGCACACATTCAGAAGAGGGATGGATAACCAGGCCCCTGGAGAGGGTGCGCAGTGACAGGCACTTGTAGAGGCTGCTGTAAGAAACAAGGGATGGGGAGAGGGATAGAGAAAGAGAGAGAAGGAGGTGGTACAGACTGGGGCTTTGGTCTAAACAAAGAAGCATTTCTAAGTAGACACACTACTGTACATAAAAAACAGCGGCTTTGTGTCCTCTTAAGCAATAACAAGCGAATGAGCCAATTAAGCGAATTGAATACAGGACTATTACATTCTCTAATAAAATGAAATCAGGTTTTGATAGAAAGTTTTTAACTTTATAATGATGTGGTACTTCTGTCCGATGCGTTAAAGTCTCTACTACATTACAAGAACCCAATGGTCTCAATGTTAGAGTCTCCACTGAGAATTACACAGGTACAATGCTCACACAGCATGAGAACTGCAAACACTGCGCAGCACTTCAGCCCATATAAACTAACTAAATGAAAATGTGTCGTACAACACACAGAATGTTAGCACACGCACACAAGCTCTCTCCTATGACCTCAGAAAAAACACTACCTAATGTTACTAATAGAGATGGCATTTCAGTATCGGTGTGTATCACCTCAACCAATTTCAGCAGAATCGGTTATCAGATAGGGGGAGAAAAAAAGAGTGAATCCCATCCAATTCAGTCCCAAATCTATCCTGAAATAGCACTCATCTACATGGTAGGCATGTCTCAAAGTGAAGGCTGCAGCTGAGGTAGGAGAGACCTTCCTAGCACTGCTAAACAAAGACTCCTCTTCAGCGCTGTCAAATTCAAGACAGTCTGAGAAAGCTGTATCAACATGTCATGGCTTACTGATATAAGCAAAGTAACAAAAAAAAAAAAAATTACATTTAATTACAAACTCTGCTGCCACAAATTTCCATCTGCTGCTGTTTTCTGGCGTTATCAAATAGTTTTGCGCTGCGCGTGAAGGATTGTGGGTGATTAAAAGTCTTGAAGGATGCTCCAGCTGAGTCTTTCAATTACTCTGTAATGTAGCCTGCATTTCTCAGTCGCATTCGAATGATCCCACAAAACGAGACAACCACCAGTGACATAACAGCTGCCTTCCTCGTCTGCATCCTTGGCTTTGAGACATGGTTAGTGTTATCTAAGATTTTCTGCCTGTGGGGTAGTAGAGTGGTTGAGTAGTTTGATCATGATGGCCTACTCTTAAATGTTCATCTTAAGCGATGTGCTTCATTTAAAACAGTTAAAGTTTAGCTTTTAAAGAGAAAACAATATCGGCTCGATATATTGGGAAAAAAAGTGGTATCGTGCCATCTCTAATCACTACAGTTAACAAAGTGCTGCTTTCTTAGCCTTTTCAACACATACTTCTATGTCTATGCAAAGAATCAACAGTTGAGTGCAATATCGCATTATGAAAATTATTGTAGTGTGACCAGAAACGTTTAGGAAAACGTTTTTTGGTGTAATAAAACAATGTAAAAAAATGTCGCCCACCCTCCTCCACTGTCACCCACACACTCACACTTACACAAGAACACCATTCAAAATTCTGTACAAAACATTCCTTTGAGTTATCCCTACTGTACACACGAACACAACATAGCTCAACGGCTTTGAGTTCATGATACAGTTCAGTGCTGTGCAAACTGTCTTTTTAAGTTTATTTTAAGACATTCTTTTAAAAGATATGACATTCAGAGTTAACTCAACTTGTAAGACTAAAAGTGTCCACGGGCTGAGCCTATGAATATGGAATGTGCTCCCCAGAGTTTGTCTGTGTCTCTGTTGGTGGGGTCGTGCGGGTGACCCTCAGACATAGCAACTGAGCTGACATTTTCAAACTGTCTGAAAAAAAAAAATGGACAAGCAGTCCATCAGAAAGTGAAAAGATGAAGAGAAAGATGGGGGAAGAGAGCAAAAATGACACAGCCTTTAAAGCAAGCTGTCTCACTGGGCCGTTTCAGTACAGCTCTGTGCCTGTATACTGGAGGTTTCTCTCCCTATAGATCACAGATACTACTGACTGCAGTGTGTGGACCCCACACACTGGGCCTGCCTTCGGTGCCGGGCCCTCCAAACTCTCTGCTGCCCCCATGTGGCTGGTGTCAGTCCTGCACGCACACAACTGCTAGCTGGTGCTGCCCCCACTGTTGAGTTTGAGGCTCTTCATATGGTGCAGGAGCGAGTCTTTCTCCATCTGGGCCTCGGCGAGCGCCATCTTGGTTCTGGAGAGCTCCTGCTTCAAGCATTCGTTCTCCTCTACCAGCAGCTGTGAAGAGGAATACGCAGAGCTGAATTCGAATGTTGTGTTTTACAAGGACATTCTACTTCTTTCTCTAGTATTAATGCAAATATGAACATGCATAAGGATCCTTATCATTATACCATCAGCAATAGAAGGTAATAGCAATAGCAGAACTTGCAATACAGATCCAATAACTATAGCCACAGATTGCCTATAGTTTAAAAAAAACTACCTGAATCTCACAAGGCTTTCACTTCATTCGCCTCCATGAATTCACTGTTTTGTTAAATTATACTTTCCTTTTGTATAATGATGTGTTTCCAAGTGAAACACAGCATCAGGGAGGGTCTCTGAGCTAGTTGAGTGTTTTCCACGATGTTATTGGTTGATATTTTTCTCCTCCAACTGGTGCACGGTGATGTAATCAACAGTCACAAGATGTTTTCGAGGTGAGCCAAAGTCAATTAAAGATTACATGATTACAAGAAAACAAGAATTTTGCCTTTTAAATGATTTGATATGATGAACTGTGTTAGTAGACATGAATCACACTCCCTATGTTGGAAACTAGGAGTGTGAAGAGTTTAAATAACCTTCACACAGAGTTCCTACATCAATACAAAAATGTTTCTCTAAAGAGTAGCTGAAGCTGCTATATTTAGGGTATAGCAGAACTGGACAGCAGTGCAGAACAAAACTAACTGCATTAATTATCTGCTATGAATGGTTATTTAGAGAAACACTTTTGGAAATGAGATGTGAGTGAGAGGAACCTTCAGATGATGCATAGGTCTTACGTCAATTTAGAGGTTCGTCCTAGAACCTCTACATACTGTGGAGGTTCTTTAAACTTTAAAAAGGTTCTTCACACTCAGACGTCATTTACAAAATAAGATCTAAATAAGATCACTCGAAAGTTTGTTTTAGGGAACCAAAGGTGGTTGTTGTATGGAACTGTGCAAAGAACTTTTTGGCAAATTACAAGATCTTAATTCTGATTTTACACTGACTTTAGGAGTTTTAGCCTGACCAGTGACTTAAGGAGAGTTCCACTGGTTCTGTGTGACACAGAAAGGGGAAAAAAGACTCCATAACAGCAGCTGAAGCTGCTATATTTTAGGGTATAGAAGAACTGGAAGGCACTGCCGAACAAAAAAAGAAGCACTAATTATCTTCTGTGAAGGCATTTCTCAATGGAGAAGCTGTTTCTGCTCTTCTCCAGCAAGAGCTTTATTTATCAACTAGGCTAGTTCATTAGTGACACCCATATAGACAAAGGCTTTCAATTAACACCAGGCTGACTCAGTAGACTCAGTAGACAAGAACGAAAGAGAAAGCTTGAAAGATTCAAGATGGTTTTTGTCTAAGCTGCAACTACTGAACTGCCAATTCCAAAAGGATGTACACAGTCTTTAGCATGCAGGAATCACATTTGAATCAACAGCTGTTTATTCCTCTATACCTTTTCTCTACTGGTGGGAATGGGGCTTGTGGGTGACAGAGGTGCAGTCTGAGTGGCTTTCGGCTCACAGGCCACGCCCACAGGAACTTCAGGGACAGAACTGAGCCTGCTGTCAGTCACAGGCCCCGCCTTCTGAGGCTCTGCCTCTGCAGCACGCTCAACTGTCCGATGGGAGAGAAAGGGGCGGGGCCAATACAAAACAGGCGTGATTCACAGTCAATCAGTTACAAAACAAAACAGATGCAAACATGTGAAAAGGTTTCGTTAAATGCAGTACACCAAATCATCAACATGAGCATGCATGGTATGAAAGGAAAGACATTCAGGAAGGGAGAAAATGAGAGAGAGAGAGAGAGAGAGAGAGAGAGAGAGAGAGAGAAAGAGAGAGAGAAAGAGAGAAAGAGAGAAAGAGAGAGAGAAAGACAAAGAGAAAGAAGAGAGCGATGAGTAACCTCCGATGTGGAAAGAGCCATCATCTCTGCGGTGCACCAGGAGATTGTGGATGTGTAGGGAAATGGGGGTTGTCTCTGGCTCTGAGGGGTTGTCTCGGGGGCCATCATCCTACATCACACATACACACAAATAATATGCAGTGTAAAAGCTTAAGCAAGAGTGCATGACCATAAATGCTGTAAATGCTGGCAAGAATGTAACCCTTAGGAGTACACAATTATTACTGTTTTGTTATTAAATAGCCCATATCATACAAAATTACATTTTCTTCACATCATTCACTTTCTACTCTATTTGGTCTATATATAGAAATACATAGCAAAAAACAATCCATATTGATTTTTTTGGGGATGTCACAAGTAACAGTCCATTCACATATAGCCCCTCTTCAGCCTAAAGCATTTCAGTTCTGCTCAAACTGAAGTTAGAGAGCTCTTCAGCCTGGACTTGTCTGTGAATGATGCACAATACAGGCCAGTCAATCGGAATGGAGGGCATTTACATTCATCAGTCTTAAAGCCCCAGTAACAAAAACCCTGTTTAATTTCAGAGGGATGAAAAAAGGTTTAAAAATGATCAGGAATTAAATTATGGCCTTTTTTGGTACATAAAACCACACAAAGGTTAATGGACCCGAGGTTAAAAATTATTACAAGTAAAGTGTAGGATATGGCACTTCTAATATATCGCTGCTGTCGGAACAAAAACTTGTATCTCCAAGTGGTAACTTTACAGGAGAAGGAAAAAACATACTTTATTTTTAATGTAGGTCAATATAACCAGACTTTTTTTACCAAGTAATTTTGGGCTGTTTCTTTAGGTCCACTCATCATGAAATTTACACACAATGTAAAAGCCAACAGACATTTTCAAATCTCAAAAACTGAAAAACGACAAAAATGGAGACACAAGGTTTTGTTCCAACAGCAGTGATATATTGTTTATTTAAAGGCGATTTAATCAATTAGTTACACAATTAAATAATAATAAAAATATACATTTGCATTCAACTTAAATTCAGCATTGACAGACTTGAGTCAACATTTTTTAAAACTGACATCCTTCCACAAAACAAGACTGTATGTGCAACAGCTTTTCATTCAAATAGAGATTGTAATAAACCAGTGCCTTTGAGGGTTAAGCCAATTTCAAAATCATCTTCATCTCAATGGTCATACACCTGTATTTGCAATGCCCATACCTTCAGGTTCACATGTGTATCTTTGATTGTGATCTCCATAGGGAGGACCTGGGAGGCAGAGTCATCCTCCAGGAAGATGGCGAGGTTTCGCAGTGATGTCATGAGGAAGTCAGCATTAAAGGACTGTAGGTGGCACTGTAGGAAGCCGTTATGTTCAGCCAGAGGAGAGTGAGCCGCGGCCCCTGGACCACTCTCCAACCTAATACGCACTTCTGGGCTCAGCTGCTGACTGTAGGGGTCCTGGCCTGAGCCAGAGTCTGTCACACACACACAATTCACAATCTCATTAGCAAGTCTTCAACTGAAGGTTTGCATTTTCTTATTTAAGTGTGTTGTGGCTTGGTTGAACAGATGATGGGAGCTATGCTGCTGTAAGTAAGTGGGAAACAACCGTCATTTACTAGCAATCAAATGCTCCCTTTACATAGTGTAGAAATCCCCCCCTTGCATTCAGCATCAGCACACCATTCGAGAAAATGAGCATAGAATGCATTAGCAAAACCCACAAACCACAAATAAGTGAATGGCAAAAGACAGCTGTGCACTGGGAAATGTTAAACTAAAGCCAGTGATGCACTGGCAACTTACTGTAATGTAAAAGAGCACATGTTGCCTACATGGGGGCAGGAAATTGGGCTGAAATCTAAAGACTGGCCAGTATGAAAATTATATGTCCTAAACAGATATCGACAACGATTTTAAGAGTTCAGAGTAATTTGATGTGGAAAAACTCCATTCTAGAGAAACTTACCAAGTCAGAATTGTTCACAGTGGTGGTGATCAAGAGATTAAGGCCTCTTAAAAGCTCCCTCACAGAAAGCTGTTACATTAAGTGGTCACAAAAACACTGCCTTATGCCTGAGACATTGTATTATGATAGTTTTTAGTTTTATGAAGGTTTTGGTCTAATTTTTTTTTCAGATTTACCCCTATTTAACCATAATCAACATTACATATGGAAACTCAGAAGACATGTAGGTTCACTCAGTATGCAAAAATACTCCTTGATATTTGAGGGGTCCCCATGTTGGCTGCCTACTGCAGTGTTGGCTAACTGCTAATTTACTTGCCTTAACAGTGCTAATTAGGGCTGGGCGATAAAACGATAACGATAATTATCACGATTTAACTTTTCCTCGATAGAGCGATACGACATGTTCGATAAATGTTCGATATAATACACCACTCTCACACTCCCACGTTCAGCGAAAGCCTTGGAGGCGTTTTCTACTGCAAGGAAGACGACACTACTCTGCTGTCGCCAGGAGAGGGCGCACTTCCGAGTTTTTCTACACGATTAGAGAGGGAGGGGGCCACGAGTAAGACGAGTCTTTAGCAACGGCTGAAACGCGGAGTTATAGATTCCCTGTCTGAGTGGAGCGACAGGCGATCTGATCTCCTGTGACCGAGTGTGAGTGACGAGGTCAGTGGTGTAACTGTACTGACCTACAGCGAACTCACCTCTTTCTGTACATCCTAACAACTTTAGCAGCGTTAAATCACAATCCTCACAACTACAGCACTGTTACAGCGCTTGGACAGTCATATTTAAGTATTAGTGCATTCCCAAGCAACGAAAGTGAAAGAAAGAAGTGGGTTCATGTAAATTACAGCCGTGATTTAAACGAAAGTAAACTGAGGAAGCTGTGAGGCATTGGAGAGCGGGAGAGCGCTAGCTTTCCAGGCTAGCTGTTTTTAGCAGCTGGCTAACTTTAAGCAGCACTCCGTCACTCCAAAACACGGAGAACTGATGATACTGTAGATCAAACACGACACAAAAGCACCGCTTTCAGTTTAAACGTACCTAAAAGGAGGACTCCGTTTGTCTGGTGTTGATATTTTGCGGTTCACCACTTAAACTACTACAATTGAATATCCAGTCGTCGCTTCTGGTGTCTGAATACTGTGATGTGATTTGTAGCGGGCGCTCGGCACCAGCTAAAATAATCTGTTTTCTTTCTTAAATTATGACTGTTACAAAATATCCATGCTTTTCCAGCTGGTAAAAACAGCTCACCAGACACTCTCTCCCACTCTCCCATGACAGATCTGTGAATTGTTCCACTGTTTGAGTGTTTGTTGTGTTCCGACCATAAAGGATAGTTTAAAACAGCAGTTAACCAACCAGGAGCAAAAATCAGCCTTCAAACTTGAAAGAAATAATGATTTGACATTTATCGCGGTATGTATCGATATCGAACGATATGAATTTTGTTTATCGTGATAACATTTTTGGCCATATCGCCCAGCTCTAGTGCTAATGCTAGCATCAGTACTTCAACAATTCTTCTGGAAATGCTCTTGCCCAGTTTGTTAATGCGTTCTTCCACACATTAACTGAGATCTTACACATCTCCTTTGTCTTTGGTTTGAAAAATGACTAAGAATTCACTCTTTTCACCAGTTTTTTTTAGCAAAATTGGGCATGTTTTCAGACTTAAGTTTTTTTAGAGGAACTCTGCACATAGTTACAGTAGCTAGGCTATGAAGGACAAACTGGGCGAACACAGCGCCACCCTGATGCCAGGGCTGCATAGTTAGTTACAACTATTAAAGACAGAAGCTCGCCAATTGTGAAATAGGATAAATAACGACCTTTCCCTGAATTTGTATTTGAGTGTCTATTTTTCTATTTTCCCTAATGGACTGCATAAGCTTATTTTCAGGAACCCCCAGAATTTTGATTTTGAGACATTAAGGAGGTCCAAGAGATTAATTAGGGGGTCCTGGACCTCCCAGAACCCCCTGTATTTCACACCTTGGGTCCACTGGTGGTTTTGGATAGCAAATAAAATGGCTATATTTGCATTGTAGACATCACAACCTCTGGTTCCCATCACCACCACTGTAAAGAAATAGGTAAGTTTCTATATTAATCTTTTTATCAAACCACTCTGAATTACTTTGTTTACTTTATTCGCACTTCTTACATTTAAATAAACAGAAACTCACAGTCTTAAAAAAGTACTGTAGCACTGAGAATGGAGCTACTTATAATTCTTTATAGTTTTGGTTTATTATTTATCTCTCATTTTTCATTAGTTTCCTCAAAAGATGTGGTCTGTGCTATATTGTTCTCATGCTAAAGGTTAAGTTAGCGTACACTTAACATGTTATTGTTATTTTTATGTTTTATATTATTGGCCAACCGTTATATATCACTCCAGCCCTACTAAAATTCATGAGAGCACTACTGTAAATAGGAAATGGTCATAAAGCACTGCGAGACTGTCATCACCCAAATTAGAGAAATTTGGAGATGCTCATGAACTTTTGCACACATGCTCATTCTCTGGTACCGACTAATGTGGAGTCAGCCTGTGCTCTTAGAAAATGTGTAAGGAAAACATTCAGAGAAAGAAGCACTCATTCTACAAACTCTCCATTCCAAGACACTGAATCACAAAGTACTTATTCTATGCAATATTTCACTCTCAACACACTGTACACTGGAGAAAGCACGGAATATATGGTCTAAATTACAAATGACTGAGTCTTGAACTAACGTTTAAGAGTGCTTCCAGCAGAGCACGCAGATTGAGCGCGAGTGTGGGAGTGAGAGAGAGAGAGAGAGAGAGAGAGAGAGAGAGAGAGAGAGACAGAGAGAGTGTGAGTGAGAGAGATAGAGAGAGAGAGAGTGTGAGTGAGAGAGAAAGGGAAAGAGAATAAGACAGAGGAATCTTTGATTTCATCCTGTCTTTTTGATCGTGCGGATTAGCAGCAAGTATGGCCTGCAGCAGTGTGTTTCAGCTCTAAACGTGATCACCGGGCTGCTTTATCTAAAGCTCATCTTCACTTGGACAGAGAAACAGCCTGAAGCTCACTCCTGCACTGCAACACTGGGGAGCAGTCAGGCCTTTCAGTTTCTAAATCAACAGCCAAGCGGCCTCCGTCTGCCCCGAGTGACTGCACTGAAATTAGCTCTGCAAAGTTTACAGATGCAGAGATTATAGCTTTTTTCTCCAAAACCTGAACTCAGACATACAGCTGAAAACAAACAACCACAGAGAGAGAGAGAGAGAGAGAGAGAGAGAGAGAGAGAGAGAGAGAGAGATGAAAGAAAGAAAGAAAGAAAGAAAGAAAGAAAGAAAGAGCAAGACAAAGAAAGACAGAAAGGACAGAAAGATAGAAAAACCATGATAAAGAAATACAAAGAAAAAGACAGAGATGCAGAGATGAAGAAAGACCAAGACAAAGAAAGAAAGAAAAGAGAGATGGAGGGTGAAAGATAAAGAGAAAAAAGACAGACAAAAGAAAGAAAAGGAGAGGAAGAGAAAGTAACAAAAGAGTGAGATAAAGTAAGCAAAAGAGGGAAAGAAAGAAGGAAAGAGAGAGCGGAAACAGAAGAAGAGAGAAAGAGATAGAAAAGAGATAAAAAAAGGGAAGATGAGATGTAAAGAAAGAGGAAGATGAGAGAAAGACAGAGAAGGGGAGAAGGAGTGAAAGAAAGAAGACAGTGAAAGATAAAATAAGCAAATGAAGGAAAGAAAGAAAAAAGAAAAAGAAAATAGGAAACAAGAAGAGAGAAAGACAGAAAAGAGAGGGAGACAGAGGAAGAGAGAAAATAAAAAGGAAGAAATGACAGAAATAAAGAAAGAAATTAAGACAGAGAGAGGGGGGAAGACAAAGAGAGATAAAGAGAAAAAAGAGTGAAGGAGACGGGGGAGCGAAAGAGAGCAAGCGTGCAGGCATGTGCAGGACAGAGATAGAGGGGAAATGGCTAAAAAACAGCAGCTGAAGAGTCAGTGAAGAGAAACCAGAGCGGCAAGAGCTAAGGGATTAAATTAGTGAGGGGGCAGCATTTCACTGTAGAGCTGAGTTACTGTCTCTCTCTGTGTGTGTGTGTGTGTGTGTGTGTGTGTGTGTAGGTGTGTGTGTAGGTGTGTGTGTGTGTGTGTGTGTGTGTAGTTTAAATTCTCCTGAAGCAGCAGTTCTGCTTCTGCAGCACTCAGTGGGCTGTGACAGTTGAGTCCCCTCAGCAGAACCACAAAACTGGCGAGCATGTGAGTGTTGAGGTGTGTGTGTGTGTGTGTGTGTGTGTGTGTGTGTGTGTGTGTGGGTAGAGCGCAGACCCCTATTTTCAGGGAGCCTCATAAACAGTGACTGCAAGACTGAAATGTGTGGATTGGAGGTGAACGTTCATGACACGTACAGTGAGAGTTTACAGTGAAGTAATTTTCATTATAAATGCACACATTTACAAGCACATGCACACACACAGCTGGTCAGCACTCAAGCACCTGCAACACACACACACACACACACACACACACACACACACACACACAATACCTTCACTGCTCTGAGCAGTCGTTAGTGGTGGGGAACAGATTAAACCTAAAGAAATGCAAGATGTAAACCAACACATTTTCAATGAGGTGAACTATCATATATTCAACATTTTCACACTCAAACACTCAGAAGTAGGCCTGTGCCCAGTAACATTTAACAGAGTTACCGCGGTAACAGCATCCAGTGACAGCAAAAACTCATTAACTGCCAATTTAAAACCTGTCATTCATTTATTGATTTATTTTATGCAAACCATAGTCAAGACACTAGTACCCAAGCACAGGGACATAACTGAACTTTCAAATAAATCAGGGTAATTGATATCCTATATTAATATCACACTTACTGCATCTAACAGAGATGTGAGTGTTCTATAAATGTGGCTGTTGAGCTGTGCTGGATGAATGCTTTTGGTGCGGTAGGTAGATATTTCTCCAAAAAAAGGCATCTGTAACAGTATAATGTTGATTTTAGGACATCAGACACAGCAGCAGGTTTCAGACAAAACAAAATTGTGTCCCAGCTCTCATTCATCAGGCAAAATGGGCTGTTTCAAATAGCTACAGGCGAAACAGCTTTAGAGAAGAAGGCATCAGGCTAAGCCAAGCGGCCTCAGACAGCAAAGTTCATGCGACATTCGCAATTCTTTATTACTAGTATGATTACAGTTTTGTGGCCAAATTAAAGATGACAATATTCTACAGCCGCAACTGTGCCTGTGTTTTTGCGTGTGTGTGTTTTTTTTGTGTGTGTTTTTTTTTTTTAAATAAATAGTCTGGTACCCCCCACCCTGATATGGGCTGACCAGTTATGACAGTCATTTTCCATCCGGTTACCTAATTAAGATGCCTCTCAGAGTTACCAGCACAGACCTACTCAGAATATCTCAGAACACAAACCCACAACACGCACACGCACGCACACACGCACACAATACCTTCACTGCTCTCAGCAGTAGTTAGTGGTGTGGAACAGACTAAACCTGGGGGGGGGTGCAGAGAATTAACCAACACATTTACAGAGAGGTAACCTATCAGGATTCTCTCACACACACAGACATACACAGACAGACTATTGAGGAGGTGGTCTTACTGAGGCTGCGGTTGCTAAGATACTGGCGTAGACTGACATTGCCCAGCTGATTGGGCCGGACCTGTCCCCACCTCCAGAGCCACTGCAGTGTTATCACCTCTCAGGTCCAGAGAGCCACACACAGAGTGCACCTTCAGCACTAGCACCGAGACCTGCGGGGGCAGACACACACACACACACACACAGACACACACACACAGACACACAAGCATTTAAATGTTAAAGCTGAAAGGCAGACAGAATAAGATCATACAAGACAGAGCAAGAGAAAGAACAGGACAGAGTTACAGATGGCTTGATCCATACACAATATCCATCTACTACCACACGTTATTCTTGATTTTTTATTCATTATTTTTTTAACTGTTGTTCCTATGGATTGTTTTACTTTGTTACATTTCTTTTACGTGTTGTTTTAAATATTCTATTCTATGCATACTTTGGTGTACAACCTTATTGTCGCTGTTGCTACAAAACTCCAAAAGATAAAATTGCAAAAGAAGGAAAAACGTTCTTAACTTTAAATGGATGTAAATGGAACATTTTTTTCAAAGTAATTCTGAAGCACATCTATTGCTTCATCATGAAATTTTAACACACTGTAAGGACAGCTGGCAATTTCAAATCCTGTAAAAAAAAAAACAAAGTAAAAAAAATAAAATAATAAAAACTCCCAAAACAAACATACAAAAAAAACCCTGCAATATCCCAAAAGGGGACATTCATTTTTACTTATTGAGTCCATATCATTGAAAATGGGATTTTAATTGTTGATTTTTAATTTTTTAATTGTTTTTTTTAAATAAAATAGTTTGATATAGTACATAAACACTTAAAACTTCAAAACACACCGGTCACTACCCAGTTCACACAGTCCATGTACAAAAATTAAGCTGCAAGAACAGCCTGTTTCAAATTCACTGTTTTTGTAATATCATAAGAACAAAAACACTGACATATAATTGCCTATTCTGTCTACAGCAGTTTAGCCCAGACCTTTCAACTTGAAGTTATAAGGAGCATTTCATCCCAGACTGCTTTATTAGTAAGGTACAATACAGGGCGGCCAATCAGAATAGCGCTTATTTACATATATATGTCTTAAAGTCACAATAATAAAAGCAGTTTAATGTTAAGGGATAGGAGAGAAACTTAGAAAACTTATGTTAGAAAACAATTTGGACTATTGGACTTTATTTAAAAAAAAAATAAAATGCAGTAAATTTGGGGGGGGGCGGTGGAAGAAAAGAAAGAAAAGTAACAAATGGCTGTACCAGGTCTTTGGTGGGCTCATCGATGCTCTGTGAGGTGGCACTGACTGCGTCTGGAGACTGAGCATCATCTCCATCCTGCACCAGCACCTCAGTGGCTCGCTCTGGAGCTGTCGGCTCACTCAGAGGGGCTTTAAAACCAGAGATGGATACGTCGTCTACAACCACACAAACACACAAACACACACACACACACCCCTCATTGCTGTTAACAACTACAGCTATAAGAAATAATGTAAAGAGAACATATTCACACTGGCAAAAATGTAGATCAAATATGTAGCACTGCACTCCAGTCAGCTGTACTGTTGTTGTTTTTTTATTATGATGCAACAAAAAGCGCAAAGAAAGATGCTCTTTCAGTTCATTATATGATACTGCCATCTAGTGGCCATGACATTGTGTACCGCAGCATATATCACCATACAAACTTAAGCATGAGCACCAGGACTAACGGTTTGAGAGAAAGTGACAGAAAGAAAATCAGAGAGAGAGAGAGAGAGAGACGGGGGGGTACCTCTCTCCATCAGGCTGTATGAGTCACAGTCCTCCAGTGAGTAGCTGTCTATGGAGATGTTATCCAGAGACTGGAGAGAGGGGCTCTTCTTCATGTTCTTATAGGACACAGAGAAACTGGATTGAGACCGATCCCGCATCAGACGCCCACTGAAACACACACGACAGAAGACACCGAGTGAGTGAGTGAGTGTGTGAGTGTGAGTCCAAACGTCCCTTTAATTATAATAAAATGTGACAATATGGACTTCTTTAAATGGTCCTCATAATTATATATACTTTAAACAATGCAGTTTACAGTAGGGATGTAAATGATTAACCAAGTAGTGGACAAATATTCGACCAATGCTATCTGTTAAGAAAAACATTCATTTCATTACATTTCCGATAAAGAACAGCTCTTATCTGAAAAGGCAGGTTGATAATTCAAGTTGAGGAACACTGTTCAGTTGTACACGAGGCAATTGGTTCCACTAAACATGTATATTTAAAAAGGAATTGCAGCTACAAATATTGATGTCCAGGACTACTTTTTGAGGGGATGATAGCACAGCTACATTGATGTGCCATATTAAAAGCAAACATTCACAAGCAGTAAGACAGACAGCTATTTGGAGAAGAAGCCCATAGTGGACAGCGACAGCTTTGCAGAACTACTGAGGTTCACTGAGCCAAAGCTCATCTTTGTCATAACATTTAGTTTTAACCTGGTCTAGTAATGGGTGTTAAATAGAAAATTAGAACACAGAACTCTCAGTAGCCCATCCATATGTATTGCAGTCATTTGATCAGCTTGTTCGTTTTTGGTCACTGTTGATCAAAAATAAGTTGCATGGAACAAACTTAACTGTAGCATTTTTCTGCAAGTTTTAGTGCAGAATTGTATGTATTCGCTGAGTTAAAAAAAAAACAAAACAAAAATACAACATAACGTGCCTTAACATTTACATAGGCAACATTTACTTTTTCCCAGTATGTTAAATTCAGCAGATAAACAGTAGTTGTGTTTGTTTAATGTGTTCTCTGTAGAGAATGTGTTAACATCTATTATTACTTAGAAAATCAATAAAATGTGTCACTTGACTGGGGCATGCAAACTTTTGCGGAAGACTGTGTTGTAATCGTCAGCCCCTCAGTTTAAACAAAACAAGGTTCTTAAGTTGGGTACGTTTAACACAGTTTCAGGCTGTTTGCGTTAGATTTACGCTTGGGTCTGGCCCTATCAGTACCATGTTCTACAATCTAAAGAAGAAACTAGCTGCATTAACGAATTAAGTTGCTCGTAAGTGTGCGTATATCAAGTACTTTACAATGACTTTGAATGTCAGCCAGTCAGATTTTAGATCTGTAATTTATTTGTTTCATAACTGATATTATGATAGGCTGCGTCCTTTATTTTAGACCTGCTAGTTAACAATTAATCACAGACTAATGGCAGTCCACTGAGGGTAAAAAAAAAAACCTGCTAAAATTCACATCCCTGCTTCATAGAAATTACACTAAAACAGTTACGTCTTTTGATCTGATATTGGTTAGAGTTAGGTCTAGGGTTAGGATTGGGGTTATGCTGTTACAGTAACAAGTGTCAAATGAAGTCCTTACAAGTATAGTAAAAACAGTACAATGTGTGCGTGTTTGCAATGAGCAAATCACTGTGCTTATTAGCTACAGCAAATAGAGTCAGCCAGCAGGTGCGCACATGATTCTGTACTAAACATCAGTGACAGGTAGCAGCTACTATGAAACAAGCACAATTACAGCATGACAAGTCAGTAGATGTCAAATCAGCACACATACGCACAAGCACAGGCACAGGCACACAAATGGCTACAGAGACCTACAGGGCATGTCTTACATGCTGGGTATGGAATATAAGGAGGTAGACCTGGTGTGTGTGAAGGTCAAGAGGTCAGAGACCACTGATAAACTGCCTTTCCTTTAGAAACAGAGAATGAAACACACACACAGCTGAGTAACAGGCAAAGCAGCAGTGAAAAAGAAGCTGTCAAGTGAAAATCAGTGAGCCTCTCTGTACTCACCAAGCACAGGGTTGTTCTCTCAAAAAGGTGACCTTCAAGCATTACAAAACGCTTCTTAAAGGGGCCAAATTCTCAAATTTTTATTTTCTTCCCCTTTTCTTATATTTCATTTTGTTTTATGAAGTCCACTTATGTTTGTTCGGTTGTATGTACCAAAATAAATAAATAAACAAATTAACCAACATAAACTTTTACATGTCCAATTTACATGCCTGTTTAATTCAGCTTTTATCAGGCTGAATTAAACGGGCTGTTTTTTCTTAACATGATTTTAAGACTGATAAATGACTGGTAAATGACCTCTGTAAATGTTCTGATTGGCTGTCTTATACTGTACCTCATTCAAAAAAAAAAGTTGGGGCTGAAACAAAAAACTGTTACATCCAAACTGAATTTTTCAAGGATACCTAAACAAATAAACTTCAGTCACTCCTTTAAGATCTTTTGAAAGGCCGAGCCGACTTGCAAAAGTTTGGGCACCCAGTAAGTAAAAATAAGTTAACACATCCTCTACAGAGAACATACTGTGTACTTTGTAAGGCACAGTTATTATTTATTTGTTAAATTTAATATACTGGGGGAAAACTGTGTACATTTCCTGTGCAAAAGTGATGGCATATTTTTACATAGTTTTATATTTTTTATACAGTTACAAACATACAGTTTAATATAAAAAAAACTGCTATATTTGTGTTATCTGTAAATGATGTGTTAACTTATTTTCAGTTAGAAAATCAACAAAACATGTAATTTGACCGGAGGTGATCAGACTTTTGCATACAACAATATCTGCTTCTTGACAGCTAGGAGCAGCACAACGTTTGATTATTAAACGCACATTATTCACTCCAATAACTCTGCTATACACTGTCTACAGTAACAACACTCCTTATCGCTTTAGTGTAAATGGACACAGTATGCTGAAGCAAGTAAATGTGTTCATGGTTGTGACATCACAACTATGATTAATTACGGTACAGCCTCTTTAACCCGAGGATAGTGAAATAAGGTGATAAAGCATGTAACCTCAAATGCACTTGGTTATCCAAAGAACACGGTCAACTATCAAACCCATAGAGGTCAGATTCATGACGCATGATGTCATTTTACCTGGACATAGACTGAGGTAGTCTGGCTCCCTGACTCTTGTCATTCCAGTCCTTGGAGAGTGGGTCACTCAGTGGGTCTGCCACCACAGTCCTGCCCAGCAAAGCCTCACTCTGCTGGGCTTTAGGTTCTGCTCTGGACCCTTCAGCCTCCTGGGACTCCTCTCCTCCATCTTTTTTCTCCTCTGAGCCTGACCTCTCCTCTGTGGATCCTTTCCTTCCAGATGTGGAAGGGGTAGAGGAGGGGAGGAGAGGTGGAACGTTCTGGCTTTGTGTCTCTGTGCCTACACACAGGAGCTGGTCCACGGGACATGTGGGCTTAGCCTTGACCGTGTCAACCGTTCCCTCTCCTGCTTCGTTGCTGCTAGCTTCTAGAGTGGCTCTGCTTCCCGAGAGCTCAGAGTCCAGAGGGTTTGCCACAGGCTTCAGCAGCAGGGAAACCTCTGCGCTCCGCATGAGGAGGCCAACACTGGTGCTGAAGGGTCGGCCAGTGCTCTCCTTCAGCTTGGAACCGTGCTGCTCCAGGTCCTGCTGCAGGGTGCGCTGGAGCGACTTCACAGCCTGCTGGAGGCGCAGCAGGAACACATACTGGTTGTGGCTCACCTGAGCGCTTAGCGGCTTCTGCACGAGCACCAGCACCTGCAGATCAGCCTCTTCATCTTCTGAGGAAGAGAATGTAGATGAGAGGGAAAAGGAGGAAGGGTTGGGACAACTCAGGCCGTCTAGAGAACGGGGCTTGCGGAGGCCGTTGCTGTAAGAATTGCTCGAAGACGCCTCAGCACTGTAATACTCCTTCAGCAGCTTCTTTCTCTGCAGCCGACTGGCCATCTCACTGGCTGACTCGCTGCGGGGCAGAGAGGCTGCTTTGAGTCTGCGCTGGTGCTGGGCATGACAGGCTGGCCTGCACACCCACAGGGTGAGGGGGAAAGAGTCCACGCACGGAGTGGGCCGGCCACGGCCCTCATAGTCCACCCAGAACTGAGAGAAGTGCAGCGACCACAGGTCGGTGGCCGAGGGGGTCTTGAGGGCGTGGGTGGAGAGTGAGGGTGGAGCCAGGCCGCGGTACACATCATGCACCCGAGTGTCCTGTTCGTGCGCGTGCCGCTGGAAGACCGGGTGCAGCACAGGAAAGGAGCCAGCACTGCGGGGGAAGGACGAGGAAGAGGACGTGAAGAAGGCTTGCTCCCGGAAGGCCTGTAGCAGAGCCTCCAGGTCAGAGCGAGAGCAGCCGGAAGAGTGGCGAGTGTTGGTTGCCACCATTTCAGATGTCTGGACTGATACGGAGCGAGGCATGTCTGGCTGGAGCTGCTCCTTGTTGGCAGGGATCAACAACTGCACATACACATACACAAGGAGAATGAGCATAAGAATAATATTTACGTTTCATATTGCACCATAATTTTAAACACATTTGTTACTAAAGTATTTCCAGTAGGTGGCACTGTGTAAAAATGTATAAAGTAATAAAATATAATTAAAGGTGTAAATGCTGAAAGCACAAATGAACTGAAATCAGCCATCAGTAAGGCATGCAGCCTACCAAAGTGGTACTTGGATAAATATCTTAAATATGCAATTATAGTGATGATTCATCAAATCTATTATGCCTCCATGGTATACCAACCTCTTATCATAAATTTTACACTAAGCTTATTCGCATAGTCCAATCAAAGTGCTCCCAAACATGATTTCTAAAGCATCTTTGCTCCTTTAGCTTCAGTGTCCACGTTGTAAGCTATGTAGTCGCTGCACTCAAGGTGAGACGACATGGATGTCTGGCATTAATTCAGCTAATCCAGCTTTAATTAATTTAACATTTTCTATTCATGAACAAGAAATATTGTATCTACAGGCCTCTACTGATAAAATTTATTGTCGTTTTGGCATCCAATTACTAAATAAGGAAAAATGAATACCAGTGTAAAGAACGAATACTCAAGCATTAAAATTATTCATGCCAGCCCTACTGACTATATTACATATTATATTGCCAATTAAACTGCAAAAACATTCATGGCTTTTAGTATATTCTGATGCTGTAATGTAAGAGAAGATTTTACACTTATGTTTGTCTGAATGTGCAATGGTCAGCAACACCGTGCAAGACAAATTTCCTTTCAGGGTCAATAATGTATATCCAATTCTTTTCAATATCAGAAATAAATAGATCAGAATATCTATATCACACCGTAACACAAAGTTTTTACAGCAGTTTTTACAGACTCTGAGCCAGACTGTGAAAGGCCATTTTCACCTTTAGCATGAGGCCGTCCACCCTGACATCCACATGCTCGTCGGGTTTCTGTGAGTCATTGAGCTTGTAGAGCTCCATGAACTGCTCCAGGCTGTGGCGCAGGTCCAGAGCGAACAGATTGAGCCACACCAGACTGCGCGCATCCACCACCAGCTGCAGGGCATTCAGCTGCACATACAGGTTAGGGCACGGGACTGCAACACACACACACACACACCCAGCGCTCAGAGGGGAGGCCGATCTTGTGTTTTTTTTTGTTGTTTTTTTTTGTAAAGGGGGAAAGAGATACGTCTAAATCTTCCAGCACTAATGGTGCAGACTGCTGAGAATGGCTGGCCACAATGACAGAAAAGCCGTTTGGCTGATTAGACCTCTTTCATGAATGAGTCTTTCAGTGATTTCTCTTTGCAATCACCAAATGCTGGCCACAGTGCTTTTCTACTCTTTTTTCGCTCATTAGTAGCACATTTGGTCTGCTCCAGCTGCGGCCATCAGAGAAGCAGTCGGCTGAGTACAAAATCAACTTCACCCACTGATTCAGCATTAAGGACAAATTTTCCTGCGGTTAGGTTTTACACTGCTTCATTACATGCATGCAGTAGTCGGCTGCAGTCGTTCAAGTCTACAGAAAACCACTGGATCAATGTACAAGTGACATGTTAAATCTGTGGTTAACCGAAGTCAAATACTAAAATGATAAAAATAAAAAAATAAAAAAATAAATAAATAAATAAATAAATAAAAGAACTGCTAAAAAGGACATTTCAGATCAAACTCGCTGTTTGCAATCCTCTTTTGGTGGTTCCCTACAGATTGCAGCTCAGATTTTTGCCATTAAAAAAAATAATAATAAAAACAGCTACATGCATCGAATGAACTGAAGGCATTGATTCTGGTACTTTACCACGTTGCAATCAGTTCTCACTAGTCCTGAATGATAAAATGATCAACACTGTTACTGATAATAATGAACTTAGGGGATTACATTTTCAATGAACTTTTAGAAATCTTTCTTTCATCTAATTTCAACTGAAAGAGACAATGCTTGCAGCCCATCATGCAACTCGGATTAGCACAAAGCCAGCATGAACTGCACACCTTCTAAGAGGAATCATGTTGCAAATAACAAAACATGGTTCAGAAGTGCTACAGGAAAACGATAAACGGGATAAAACGACAACAATTATTAAAATCACTTCTTTGGTTAGACTTTAATTTGAGGACTTTTTTTAAATAAACACAGCTGCTACAAGCATTGAGAGGGCATTCTTACTGGGGTAGTCTTTGCCATCAGGGAAGTAATACTCAGTGAATTCAGCATGGATGGCAGGCATCTCCTGGGGGAGGTACAGGGTCTTTTTATTACAGGAGATCATAGCTTTAGGACTGGAGCGCCGCTGGTCAGCTGTTGATACCTGAAATACATCAAAAACATAGAGCTGGAGTCAGAACCTGCCTGTGGACACACAGTATATATTCACACATAACCACAAGTATGCATGTTTGTGCAATAGCAGGTACACCATTGGCACAGTGTGAAGCAATATCTTTTGTACATTCACTGTGATGTGGTACAATGCAATGCAGTACCTGAGGTAAAATCACTGCAACACATTGCCATGGCCTATTGCCTATTGCAACATAAAATGACAAAATATATGTATTTTTTAAATATTTAAGATCGAATTAATATTAATCGCAATAAACAATTCTTCCACCTGGAAATTCGTTTAGAAGCAACCATGGACAAGGACTTTCAGTCGCCCATAACCGAATAGTACAGTCTGTTCATCAATCTTTACTTTTTGTTCATTTAATACCGGAAATATCATAATACAGCATTTTTGAAAGCAAAATACTTCACCCTAAACAAACTCACCAAATTACCACTGCAATGGTACCACTAATAATGGTAATTGCTGCATTGTGTTGGCATCAAGCTAACAGTGCCATACATTGGTTCAGTTAAACATTGGTTTAATACTACTTATGACAGTATGATCCTAAAACACAGATATTTGAAGTATGTAAGACATTTAAGTAATAGTTTTACAGTAAACCATTCATTAAATACTGTAATTCAAAGCCTAACACTGAATATTAGTATTGGAGTGGTTTCTTTCAGCCTGTTTCTCAGTTTAAACAAAACTGTGTTCTAACTTCATTTTTCAACATACTCAGTGGTCCATGCACAATACACAATAGTTTTTTTTACTAACTTGCCGCATAAATACAGACTTCAATTGTTGTGAGGCAGTCCATACTCACCTGGTAAATACTGAAGTCTGCCATGCGCAGTACTATGGAGCTGGACATCAGCTGTGTCCTTGGTGTGGGTGGTGGGGAGAAAGAACTGCTAGAGCTGGTGGAGATTTTCCCTGTGATATAAAACACACAACACACACACACACACACACATATACACACACACACACACAGATATTCAGGCCTCACACACGCTGCGGGGGCATCTGCACAAAGCTGTTTGTGTGGCACCTCAAACGCACACCAGAGCGGTACCTGGCTCCAGGCACCAGCAGCAGTGGACAGCGTGTGGGAGCGGAGCCCACGCCTCAGCTCCAGAGTCCAGCTGCCTAACTACTACTCCAGCACTCAGCTCCTCTAAGGGCACACACTGAGGGACTGCGGACACACAACCCGTTACCAGCGGCCAAACACAGCCCGCAAACTAACACAGGTGCTACTGGAAAGACACAGTAGTTATATGAGCACTGAAAGTAAAGACCAGCTAACAAAATGAGCACCACTTTTCAGCTTTAGCATGTTAATTATTATAAAGCAGCATAATGAGAGATAATAAGGCAGAGGCATAATGTGCTCTCAGTACAGTCAAAGGTACGCTTTTACTCCCACTTTCCAGCCAAACAGTCTCACAGTCTGAACCTGCATACGGAATTTTGAGTGACTCAATGTGTACAGCTTTCATAGCTTAAGTACACACCCAGCAACCTTTTTTCCATTTATAAACAATACAAATACAAATGAAGGCATCAAAAACAAGACCCTGAATATGCTAAAAACTATTCCATTAGATTGTAACAGAAATAGAGGCAATTTTATCAGGTAGGTGCTGTGCAAAGAATTGCTAAACTAGCTGTGAACATCAAAACATTTAACAACCATGTATTACCCACTCTGAAAAGCCTTTTTCCGTGTTTGTTGTTAAAGTGAGAGAGGTTTCTTTGAACCGTAACAATGTGGATTTAATGCTTTATTTTTCATACACCTCATTTACACTTCATTAAGCTTTTTGTTGTTGTCAGAACAAAACTTTTTGTCTCCAAAACCGTAACTTCACAAGGGAAGGAAAAAAAACTTTGTAACTTTTAATGCAAATCAGTCTAAAACTATTTTATTGCATGTAAGTTTGAATCAGTTTTATTGTTCCTGTTGCCATGATCATGCTTACACAATCTAAAGAGCGTCTGGCCTTTTTAAATCATGTAAAAATAATAATAATAAAAAAAAAAACAGAGAAAGATGTCTTTGTACTACAAAAGTGCCTAACCGAGGTGCTAACCTAACACCTAAACCGAAGAGGAAAAAGGATCAACATCAGGCACCTGCAATTCATTCAAGAGGTCTTATAAAATAATAAGCTGGGCTGCAAGGAGCAACAGCTAATGAGAAGAGGTGTTACCACATAATAGTTCTCACCGTGCTGAGGGGAGCCTTGTGACTGGCCACTGACAGCGTTTTTTAGCATGTCCACATTAGACCTGAATTCTTCCAGCAGAGAGCGAGCCCAGCCTTCACGAGCTTTAGTGGTATCGCTGTAGTGCATCCAGTGCAGACAACTCTCACCTGAGAGAGAGCGAGAGGACGAGAGAGAGAAAGAAAGAAAGAGAGCGAGAGGAAAAACATCAGATAATACCATTAGCCTGGGAGTAGACAAAAAAAAATCCTAATTTGAAGTGTTTAAGTCCAAAGGATTCACTCATGCTTGTGTGTTCAAGACATTCAGATGAGTGTACACACACACACACCTGAATGCAGATCTCAGACATGAGTTCCTTTGTGAACATGTGTTTGTTGTATGTGCACACGTTCATACCTGCTCTATGGAAGGGGTAGTAATCTATGGTGATGGAACTAAAAGAAAGCTGCATGGCTCCACCTTCAATTCTCTTATTGATCTCTGAAAGAGAGCATAAGAGAGGGAGAGAATGAGAAAAGGAGAGAGAGAAAGAGAAACAGAGCGAGTGAGAAAGAGAGACAACATGGCAAACAAGTACAAATCAGACAAATCTTGTCAGAATTACATCATTCTAGCTGTACAAGCAGATTTATTTTACAATAGGCAAATGCACAGTAATACTGTGATAATTACCTAACCTATAACAGCTTACAATACTATTGTGATGTTGTATTAGCAAAAACTGTACGAGCATTGATCTGAATGTTATTTTTTATTAAAAAAAATATATATATACCAAAAATAATAATAATAAAGTTTGTGGTTAGACATTTTAAATTTTTCTTTCAGGTGTTGACACAGCAATCTTCATTAACGTCTGGAATTCTGTTTTTTTCGTTGTTGTTTTTTTTTTTTACCCAACAGTTCCAGTTAACATCATGTATTTGGTGTCCCACAGATATTCTCCCAAACTGCGTGGCAGAACTTTTATACCTAAGATAGTACACTGAGTATAACAAGAGCACTGAGGCCTTTATCATGAGTTGTGAAGGTGCTCAGACCAATAACACAATAAAACACTAGACCAAGGACTACCTCTGTCCTTGGCATGGATGTCGTCGCAGATGTGCAGGTCAAGGTGTGTGATCTGCAGGTGGTGGGAGGTCTCACACACGTTGTAAGCATTGAAGAGTCGAGCCATAGAGGCACTTTGGTCTGGTGTGGCTGAGGCCTGCTGTGTGTGTACCTGCTGTGCAGAGGGGGGTGCTGGCGCTGCCTAAAAAACACACATAAAGTGGGGTTAGCAAGTTACCTTCCTACAAATCAATGACAACTTAGTCCAAGCTACAGAAATTTTCCATTACCATTAAATAGGACAAAAAAAATTGAATAGTTCTTTTTGTAACCAACAGGGGGCACAAACATAGCACAGACAGAGTTGAAAAGGTCAGGTCTACTGCTGTGAGTGTGAGAATGTGTGTGTGTGTGCCATATGGCAAGATGATGGCAACGAGCTCATGGGATCACTACACAAAAACACAATTCACACACACAGCAGAGAGAGACAGTGACTGAGAGATTAACACATTTTGGCACTAACATGGCTGGGCGCAGGACAGGCATCCAAAAAAGCCCATTAGCCAGCAGACCAGCAGTTTATCACCGAGCAGTGTGCCGGTGAAGGAGAGGAGGTCAGTCTTTACACATACAAACACACACCTGAGAGGAGTCGGGAGCCATGCTCTTTCTCTGCAGGGCTGATTTCTCCATGGCCTCGCTCAGAGACTTGGCATACTGCACCATGGCTTTGAGCTGAGAGTCTGTCAGCACCCACAGCAGGTCATCCAGGATCAGGATCAGCTTAGACGCCACCACGTTACAATCTTTCATCTGACACAATCAACAGAAAACACTGCTTAAGCTCTTGCAATGGCTCATATGTGGAGCACATTTTAAGTTCTCACATACTCACCTCATACTCAAATCATTTAAAGATTTTCAGTAGTTACTATACTATTCTATATAGCGGCTAGGTTATACGAGTCAGTACAATAAAACACACACACACACACACACACACTATATATATTTATATGTATAGACACATGGTGTAGTATTGCGACCACAATATTTATACTATTATGACTACTAGCAATAATAATACATTGAAACTAATGGGTCAACCATGAATATAGAAAACACAAAAGCTACATGCGCGCTCATCTGTGTGTGCTTACCCTCCTCTTTAGTGTGACTCTGATTTTGGACTGGTTGGTGATGAGGCGGATGGGGGCGCTGAGCACTTCATGTTCAGAGCTCTGGATAGCATCCGCCTCGATCCGGATCATCTGCCAGCTCACCTCCTTAAAGGTCAGGATCTGCAACAACACAAACAGAAATGCATGAGGGTGGCGGTTCATTCTCATAAATAGTGGAATGTTAGAATTTATTAATATCAATCACTGTTTGCCAAAATAAAATTCTCTAAACTTCTAAAAAAAATTCTAAAAACTATTTGTTTGTATTGTCTACATTCCTCCAGCAATATTTTGTAATCGGTGCTTGTTTAAAAATAATTCAGAATTGCAACAAAGTAATGAAATCTAATTTTGGTTTATATATATATATATCAAAATCAGTGCATCCCTAATTTAATGACACACACATCAGACACATAAACATCCCCAACACTGTCTTGTCCCTATATATTTTTAACTGATTAGTGAATTTAAGAAAACTTGAAATACAGACTAGAACTTCTATAGTCTCCATTTTTAAATGGCAACTGTTAGTAAAAAAATGGCTGGTTGCATGTTTCCAGGTCAGTGCATGGCGGGTTCAAAGTTTAATAACTTCTGTTACTGCCCGCTGCAATTCACGTGCCGCATATCTCAGCAGAGCACAACATAACAACGGTTCAATTCAAGTGAAAGCCCAAGGAGAGTGCAAAACATTCTTTCCACGATATAGTGGAATATAGTGGACACTGCATACCTCCCCTCGTGCAGGGTCCTGTATTCGTGTGAATCGCAGGTCGCTGGCCACCCAGCTGGTGTTGACGCTGTAAACCTGCAGCTGAGAGAGCTCGAAGGAAGCATTGAAGGCCTTGGCACTGATCCTGATCACAATGGAGTTCACAGACAGAGAGATCCCCTCTACCACCTTCTCAGCAAAACCATATTCACTGAGAGAGAGCAAGAGTGTCAGAGAGCAAAAGAGAGCGAGAGACAGTGTGTTAATCTCACATGAAAGATGAAGGAGGTAAATAAAATACAGCAAGCAGACGCGATACTGACCTTTGACCTGAGGCTGTTGCTATGGGAGATGGGCCATTGGGTGGGCGTGGCTCGTCACAGGTGCTCATTTCCATCACCACTTTGTCCAATGACTGAAAGACACACAGTTTGACTGACTCAGCTTGACATCAATAAAAACCGGACTGGGCAAGCCTACCTGAGCTGGACCGTGAAATCAGCCTGTAGGGAACACTGTCTGGCAGGAACTGAAACATATCTATAAACAGCACTGGACACTCTTTTAAGGTGAAGGTACTTCCTGCCTGCTGAAGGTCAACAAGATACAGGGCAAGATTTTCAGACTCTTGTGCAATGGCACAGATACAGATCCTACGTCATAAGCTAGCTAGCAAACTAACTATCTACCCAACTAAAGAAAACGGTCATTTTTGGATTTAACCTGTACAATTAGATATTTATGACTTAAACATTAGTGCAAGAACAGTGGGCTCTCTTTATAGCTGCAGATCACATTTTGCTGCATTCAGTGTTTAATGCACCCACAGCATGCCGCCCCTTGTACCCCTGCAAGCCCACTCAGTGGTCTGGCAAAAATACCCAGAGTTACTCAAGTTACCTGAGACATTGTTTTACCAACAAATTTGAGATTTTTCCTTTTTTTTTTTTTTAATATGTGCATGGTGAAGAGGTACATGCAGGGTGTTGTAAAGCAAACCAAAAGAAAGCACTTTTTCAGATTTACCAGTATTACACCATTTTCAACATAACATATAAAAACTCAGGAAACACGTGTAGGTTTAATGGTGGTTTTGGATATCAGATAAAATGGTTAGTCAGTAATTTTCTCTTCATGTAAACATTTCACATAAACCACTCTAAATGACTGTTTACATATCAACCACTGAATCAGGCACATTTTTTTGTAGTTTCATGCATTCCATTACTACCCACATCTAAAAATACCTAAACAAATACCCCAAAGAAGCATATCCTATATGTAAGTACTGGTTACAGTAGGTGTGGAAAATGCTAGGTTTGTGTGTGAACATTTGTCTTTAGCCAACAGGATCTGAATTTGAGGCTTGATGATAACTACATAAAGTTGACACTGTTGTAGGCGACACTTACCAGGGTGATTGGGTGAGTTTTTAGCTTGGTCCATGGAATCTGAGTGGAACAACAGACATAAAAAATGTCACTAGTTATCTTTTTCTTTCTTTCTTTTTTGTTTTTATAATAGTAAAGCAAAAGAAGACAGTGCACAAACTAATGACCTACATTTCAACCTTTATTTAACCCACAACAAGGCAAGGAAAAATAAAGGAGCAAAAGTAGACATGACTGACTAGATCGTATCAAGCACATGTTTAGAAATGCACCAATAACAAACTGGTCCAACAACTTTGCTGTAAAATGTTTCTTCTCTGCTATCCTTCTCAAGTGTCAGCAAGTCATCTCTACATACTAACCAGGAACAGCCCAAGCCACACAGCATGTGTCTGTGCCTAGCACTTCACGTATGTGCTATTTTCAGGCTCTCTTACCGAACACTAAACCCACTTAAAGGCATATGGGAGAGCCTGTATGCATATTTGGTGAAGAGGAAGAAAATGGCACAGAAGGAAGTAAGTCAGGGAAAATAAATACTGACAGAATCAAATAATAATGGCCTTCACTGACCGAACTGAGGGGACAGAGAGGTAGACATTGAGAGAAGAGGAGATTATATGTGTAATTATGGCTACATCCTCACGAAGCTCCTCTGAACGTTATTAAAGTGGCCACCGCACTTCTGGGGCTGCCTTTCCAAGTTGGTGAGTCACTAGAAGCCTGGTGATTTTCTCCAACGTGGGCAGTCAAAACCGTTGATGCAGTTGTGGTTAAGAGGCTTTCATATGAAGGAGAAAGCCTACTGGAAGAGGCCGGTACTATTGAGTAGCTCTAAAAGTAGCGTAGGTGGGAGCACAACTCTTCAGTAGAGCAGCATTACCTGCCTCAAACCTCCACTATCTACCCAGATCTCCTCACTGCTAATATCTAAAATTCCATCAGAAAAAGAGAGAGAGAGAGAGAGAGAGAGAGAGAGAGAGAGAGTTTGTTGAGTGAGTGTATGTGTGTGTTCTGTAGTTGTATCCAGATCAGGGAGGATGCTGAGGTGTGTGGAACATTGCCAAAGAAAGAGAACTGAGTGTTCCTCTCAAGAACAGTTATACATAAACACAGATTTTTACATCTAAACATAAAAACGTTCACACACCAGGTAAAAGTCGCCCAAATCCGATTTGCTCATCAAATCCGTTTTTTTTTTGTTTGCCTCCACACAATGTCTGAATGTGAACTATACGCGACATTAGTCTGAACAGATCTCGCTCGTAAACTGACCCGCATGCGCAAATGAATAATATGCTTCACGTGGCTCACTCATTCAGAGGTAAACAATCACAACTGCCAATGAATGCGGGTCCAGTCCCAGAGGGTTCATTTTCTAGGATCACAGCAGCGACCGTGAAGCTTCATTGACTGACAGCTGGGCTCATCTCCCAGAATGTTTTCGATCTCGCTGTTAAAAAGGTCATGGTCACTTCTTTGGTTTGTGTCCTGGGATTCTTTAAGCTTTGCTTTTAGACTTTTAACTGTTCTCTGACCTTGCTGCAGAGGGGTTTGGATAAGTCTCTTCTGTTTTTTTTTTGTATAGAAACACTACCCAAGATGTTTGAGATCTCAGCAGCGCATAATTATGACGAATGTCGAGTTGGATTGCCGTAAAAGTAACATGTCGTTTCCAAAAAAGTTGGGGCGCTGTGCAGAATGTAAATGAAAATAGAATGTAATGATGTGCAAATCATGTAAACCATATTTTTTTAAAGGAAAATACTACAAAGACAAAGAAATATTATTGTTTTCGGAAAAATACATGCTCATTTTGAATTGCCAACAACACATTCCAAAAATGTTGGGACAGGGGCATGTTTACCACTGTGTTTCGTCACCTCTTCTTTTAACAACACTCTGTGAACATTTGGGAACTGAGGAGACACTGCTGTAGTTTTGAAAGTGAAATGTTTTCCTGTTCTTGTTTGATATAGGATTTCAGCTGCTCATCAGCTCAAGGTGCCCTTTGTTATATTTTTCATTTCATAACATGCCAAAAGTTATCAGTAGTGACAGGTCTGGACTGCAGGCAGGTCAGTTTAGCACCTGGACTCTTAATACAGAGCCATGCTGCTGTAATACATGCAGAATGTGGTTTGACATTGTCTTGCTGAAATAAGCAAGGTCTTCCCTGAAAAAGACGTTGTCTGGATGGCAGCATATGTTGCCAAAACATGTATATATCGTTCATCATAAATGGTGCCTTCACAGATGTGCACGTCACCCATACCATGTGCACTAATGCACCTCCATACCATCATGAATACTGGCTTTGAACTGTGCACTGATAACACACTGAGTGGTCTTTAGCCCAGTGGACACAGTGTCCATGATTTCCAAAATGAATTTCACATGCTGATTCACTGGACCACAGGACACTTTTTTTTTTTCACTTCACCTCAGTCCATTTTAAATGAGCTCAGGCTCAGAGAAGGTGGCAGTGTTTCCAAAACCAAAACCGAAGTTATAAAATCAGTGAAGAAAACGGGTAGAACAGCTGTAACGTGATGTGTGGACACTCACTGGCACAGAATTTTATTTCACCGTAACTGTGCATTTTATCACAGATGAGTGGCAGCCTGCATCTCATGTGCTCCAAACAAGAGCAGTGAATGAGAGCCTTCCAGTTCACTTGCCACATCACTTCCATTTGATTTATTAATAAAAGATATTGTAAGTAAATTCATTATGGATCATTACAAATACTTTGCTTTAAAAGTACCAGGTCATCACAGAGTGAGAAAAAAAGAAATCCTGTATAGAAAGATAAAAAGATGCATGGATAATCGTTTTATAAATCGCATCGCAGCCCTCTGAATTGTAATCGAATCGAATTGTGAGGTGCCTAAAGATTCCCACCCCTATTCTGGATCCTTTTCATACACGGTTTCTTCTTTGCGTTTTAGAGCTTGGATTTGTGGATACAGTGATGAACTGTTTTCACATACAGTGGTTTTCAGAAGTGTTTCTGAGCCCATGCAGTGATTTCCACTAGAGAATCATGTCTGTTTTTAATGCAGTACCGCCTGAGGGGCCAAAGATCACGGCCAGCAAATACTGGTTTTTGGCCTCGTCCCTTGCATACAGAGATTTCTCCAGATTCTCTGAATCTTTTAATGTTATTATGTACTGTAAATGACGAAAAGCAAAAGTTCTTTGCTATTTTACGTTGAAAAACATTATTCTTGAATCGTTTCAAGAATTTGATGGTGCAGTCTTTCACAGAGTGGTGAACCCCTCCTCATCTTTACTTCTGAAAGACTCAGCCTCTCTGGGATGCATTTTTATACCCAATCATGTTACTGACCTGTTGTCAATCAACCACCAGGTGTTTTTTTTTTTAAAGCAGTACACAACTTTACCAGCCTTTTGTTGTTTCAGCATCCCAACCTTTTTGGAAATTGTGTATATATATATATATATATATATTCTGATCCTAATCAAAAAAAAAGTTTCATTTTAGTTTTTACATTTCATTTACAAAATGAAACATGCAGCTTTGGTTACTTCTGACAGTGTATAATACCTGTGTTTTTCCTATCAAGTTGGTAGTTTTTGTCTTGAAAACAGAATGCCAAATGGCACTAGAGCAAATTATGGAGACGAGAGGAGAGGAAGTGAACAATGAGGGTGAATGAAGAGAGAAATTAGCACAGAGAGAAGGGAAAAAAGGAGAGAAAAGAGAATGCCACTGCACAATAAATCAAACATTTCTCTCTTTCAAACCTAAAACACAAACCATACCAAAGCCAGAGACAGAGGTGGCTAATAAACCACTCCATTGCTGTCCTGTCCCACTGCCGCTAGCCTTGGCCTGCAGGCATCTCAACCGCACAGCTCATTCCACTGCATACACACACACACACACACACACACACACACACAGACACACACTCTTAAAGAAGGACTTCCATTACAGGCTCATTATACAAATTAATGGCTGAGCATTTCTGGACAGAGTTGCAATCAGAGCCAAACCAGTCTGTGACAAACTCCACTGGAATGAAGAGCGAGATTGATTAAGACTGTCTGAGTAATGAGGATGGACGACATTCACAGAGAGAGGGAAAGAGAGAAGAGAAACCTCACAGTATAGACTCCAAGCTTCTCCACAAGAGACAGAGAAAGAGACCACAAGGAAAGGAGCATATACTGTGGTTTTAACAAAGCTCAGGAATTCCCACACTTACTATGAGCTGTTCACAAAGCCAGAATAACCAGAACCAGCTAAAGCTAAATGCCTGAGGAGTAACAGAGCACTGATGTCATGACTGAGGGACAGGCAGAGGTGAATGAGCTCTCACCCGAATTTCGGCCTTGTTACAGCAGACTTTGTTGATAGCCAGCCAGGTGGGCAGATCCAGCATGTTCTGCAGCACCTCCTCATCCAGCTCCAGATTGGTCAGCTGACCCTCACCCTTCAGAGTGCTCAGATTGATCTTATCTGGAGACAGGTTTTTAGCAAACCTACAGAGAGAGAAAGAGAGAGGTTAGCATGAGAAAAGAGTTAAAAGTTCCGGGATGCTCTCTCTCTCTGTAACATCGCTGCTTATTTGAGTTTAGTGAATGTGACAATTGATAACTGACAGACATGTCTGACACATAATCACACTTTACTAACAGTCTGACAGGCGTAGCAGTAGGTAAAACATGGTTTAAATTAAACTATTCTAGTCTTAGATATAGAATTTTTTTGCTCTTTAAAAATCAGTATCGGTCACAAAATTTGAATAAATAAATAAATAAATGAATAGTGGTGCAGAACTCAAGGTCAATCTCGATCTTGTCTCAGTCTCAATATCATTTGGATATGTTCTCGTCCCAGTCTCAGAGTAAGATGGACTTTTTTTTCCTATCAACACTGAACATCATTGAATATCAACAAAACATTTAAACAAAACATTAAACAGTCCTTTCTCTACATGTGCCCACTCATGTATTTAGGACACATTCTTAAAAATGACGTTTACTATAAACATTAAAATTAGAATTCAAAAAAGTAATAGTAAAATTCAACTTTACTCAAATATTTTAGTATTTGACAAATAATATTGTATTTAATTTCTGAGTCCATTTGACAGCTCTAAATCAAAGGCTATGTGGGATTTACAAAGATAAAGGTCAATACAAATATTTTAGGCACCTGAGAAAATTTGAATTAAAAGCAAGTTATCTGAGCAGTAAGCCTGTACTTTACTGTATAATACAAGAAATACGAATAATATTAATAAAATAAGTAGTGATTTTATGTGTCAATGTGTTAGTTTAACCCTTTCCACAGCACTCCTCATGTCAGCCTAGTATTATATGTATTTATCGTCTAGTACCTGGTTTGGCTAATCAATACTTCATTATGTTAAATCAAGTGTGCAAATTCATCTGACAGCTGGGTGTGTCAAGGAGAAAGAACCAAACTTTGCTCTTCGAACTAGTCCTGAAGATATCTACTACTACAATAAGAAAATAAATTCTTGTGACCTTTTACTTTATCAATCAATCAATCAACCTTCATTTAAACTCTGAGTACATTGAGACAGACCCTCATTTACAATGTAGTCAAGCCAATACAGAGATCAGGGATTGAGAAGTTAAATAGTAAAAACATAACAAATGCTAAAAAGTAATTTATTTATATATATATATATATATATATATATATATATATACATATATATATACATATATATATATATATATACACACACACATATATATATATACACATATATATATATATATATATATATATATATATATATATATATATATATATATATATATATATATACACACATACATATATAATCTCATTCATTTATGTTCATCTGCATTTATTCTAATGCTATATTATTTTTACAAACTCACTTAGAGATAAACAGTTTTATATAATGTGCTGCAGATTTAACAATTTCAGTACAGACCTATTCTTACTGAACAAGTAGAAGAAGGAACCGTATCATTTAATTTCTAGATATTTAAGATACATACACCACTTTAAGACATGCAATGCCACCTCTGAACAAAGGCACCAGCAGGAGGTGAGGGATAAAACATGGAGGAGGTGTATACAATACAGATTACAGGCCTTTCCTGTCAGGCAGTAATTACAGTGTGCAACATTAGTCAGATAGTACTCCAAGCAGAGATGAGCCGTTAAGTCCACTTCCCTGCCACGTGTCTGAGTGTGTGTAATCTCTGATGGGTTTAGATAGGGCTGTAAATTTTGAAAGTTGTAGCTACTGCAGCCTTTGGTGGTTAAAACCTACCCAGAAAGGAGTGACAGCCCCCCACTCTTTTTTGGGCTAATCTAGCCCATTTCCAATATCCACCAGAGACTGACTGAACTTCTTAACCATCACTGCAAACCTGCACTTTCAATTTTTTTAAATATTTCATCTTGAATGCTGCTGTGGGACCCCAGTTTGTGCATATTTAGCCCTGTCTAGTTAGTGCTGTGTATTTGTCATGTGCATTTATTGTATGTATATTTCCTGTTTGGTGTATTTATTGTACATTCCGCACTCATTTCACTCTGTTGTGTATCCGCACTCTATGTAGTCCTGTGTAATGTGCTGCTGTGTAGTGTGGAGTCATGTGTAGTGTGTTGAACTACAGGGCCTGAGATTCAACATATCATTCCAATGTACGCAAGTTACATTGAGGAATATATATATCCGCAATAGCCTTGGCAAGCTGGTGTGAGAAAAATAACCTCACATTCTTGGTGTTACACAAGCTGCTGATATCAGACATGTATCTTTCATACTCAGATGTGTGCGTGTACTCGAGTACTCTGTTAACTGTTCAAGTATTTGAATAGTGAAATCACTTTTTGGGCGTTCGTTATGTTTCATCATTGGGAAATGGAGTAAATATACAGACTACCAATTCAGGGAAACACCCACCCACTTTATGTTTTTAACAGAACTGTAAAACGTGACATTGTATCAGTTTAATGGTGCAGCTATTTCACCAACTAGGCTAAATACTCAGCTAGGTCCAGAAACTGAAAATATATTTCTCTGACAAACTAACGTGTTAGTACAACCTCCAATGAGAAGAAAAGACCTAACGCAGATGATGTCGAGTCCTCATTATGTAGCTAGCTCTATTAGCTCATTGGCTTATATGAAGAGGCAGCTTCTGTTACTCATCCAATATGAAATCCTACCGATTTCCAATGGCTATTTTTAAATTAGAAAACATTTTCAAATTTTAACCTTTTACAGGTACCATCTTCTAAAAAGTAAGCCTACAGCCCTGACCTAATCTGGGGAAAAGTCATAATTTCCTTTTTGTTTTTGCTTTTTCCTTCCTTGTGGTTTGCCAGATACCCATTCAGTAACGAATACAGATACTCTATCATATCAAAAAACAGTTAGGACAATTAGGACACCTCATTAAATATTTAGATCTTTATTAAGAAATATAAATCAATATTTGTTCTTCTTTCAAACAATATCTATAGATAAAGTTGCAATGAAAAATCATTTATATAACAAAAAACAATGGCAATTCCCACTGAGAAAAAAAAATTAGGACACTCGATGCCCTGATAGCTTGTATTTCCCCTTTTGGCTGAAATAACCTCATTTAGACGTTTTCTATAACCATCTACCAGTCTAGCATCAACTGGGAGAAAGTTTTTTCACACTCCTTCACGCAGAATTCTTTCAGCTGTGTAATGTCAGAGGGTTTCTTTGCATGCACAGCAACTCACCCCACAGCATCTCAATAGGAATATGATCCAGAGCTCTCCCTTTCGTTCCTTTGAGCCATTCCTTGGTGGATTTACTGGAATATTTTAGGTCTTTATCATGTTGCTTTGTCCACCTCCAATTCAGCTTCATGATACAAGTATTCATAGTAGATTCTATGATGAAGAGCTTGCCAGGCCCCGCTGCAGCAAAGCAGCCCCAAACCATGACATTTCGACCTCCATGCTTCACAGCTGGAATGAGGTTCTTGTGTTCAAATACTGTGTTTGGTTTGTACCCAACATGTCTTTTGTTACTGAGCCCAAATAATTCAACTTTGGATTCATCTATCCAAAGCACATTGTTCCAGAGGTCCTGGTCTTTGTCTAGGTGTTCACTGGCAAACTTTATTCTTGCTCTGGTGTGTTTTTTATTTTTTGACAGCAAGGGTTTCCTCCCTGCACAGCTCCCATAAAAATCAAACTTGTGCAGTCTCCTTCTGATAGTAGATGCAAGTACTTTAACATCAACCATGGCAAGAGCTACATGTAGGTCCTGTGATGACATTTCATGACTGTTTGAGACTTTTTTTATGCATCTTACGGTCTGCTCTTGGGCTGAACCTGCTAGGACGGCCTGACCTGGGCATGCTGGCAGTTGTTTTAAATGTTCTCCACTTGCAAATTATTTTCTGGACAGCGAAATGGCTGATTTCTAATTGTTTTCAGATCTTTTTTTAAAACCCTTTCCAGACTCATATGCATTTACAGCCTTCTTTCTGAAAGGCCTCTGAGAGCTCTTTGGATCTCACCATGGTGATACCACCCACTTTAACAATTAAGAGCAAACAAAACTAAACATCTGAAGATTAAACAAGACAGTCTCCTCCAAAATCCTCACTAACGATGTTCTAATCATTTGCAGCTGATGTTGTGCACCTGATTCTAATTTTAGGCATTTTAAATAGTAAGAAATGTGTGGATGTCCGAACTTTTTCCTTGCAAGAAAACTGCATTTCTATTAATTACATTTTCCAAAGATATTTATTTGTTTAGCTGTATTGCCTCCGTCTCTCAATATCGTTAAAATTAAGATTAAATGTCGATATGTTAAAAAAGACAAAGGTTTTTTATGGGGTGTCCTAATTTTCAGTCTGAAAACACATTCTTACCTACAACCACTGATAAACATACAACATGGAATATATGATTGTCTCCTTTTGACTCAATTTTGCCAAAAACTGCAACTAATTTTCATGTTGCCATTTTTCACCACTGAAAATACAGGAAGCTGCTCCTTGGTGTCAAACCTCATTTACAGCAGAGCAGTTTGTAGGCCACACCTCCTCAGACTTTGGAATAAGGCAGTTAAGGGCAGGGCTGATGCTACAACTTGGGGTCACATGTGAAATTCACTGACTGAACTATGTCCATTAAATACACATTTGGTGCTTGTGTCATCAGAGGGTCGATACATGATATTCAGTGCAAAGCTCCCGAACAGCGTGACCCTGAGCGCTCTCGAAGGACGATTTAGTGAATGTTTAAAGTGTAAATTCCACAGAGGCCTCTGGTCCTACGCTCTCTGCTCAGAGCCCACTGTACAGCGGATGAGATAAGAGTCTCGCTCCACTGCTGCTGTTTCCTTTTACACACACAACGCAAACAAGTCAATGTGAAGGCAGACTCCACCGCCCTTTATTTGTGGCCAAATTGTTAGGTTTACAAAGCTACTGAAAGTTGCATTCAGTGGGTAACCATTTATTTTACA